CCGAGTAGCTGGGATTACAGGCACGTGCCACCACGCCCAGCTAATTTTTTGTATTTTTAGTAGAGACGGGGTTTCACCACGTTGACCAGGATGGTCTCGATCTCTTGACCTCGTGATCCGCCCGCCTCGGCCTCCCAAAGTGCTGGGATTACAGGCGTGAGCCACCGCGCCCGGCCAATTTTCAATATCTTACATGAGGCCGGGCGCGGTGGCTCACGCCTGTAATCCCAACACTTTGGGAGGCCGAGGCGGGCGGATCACGAGGTCAAGAGATCGAGACCATCCTGGCCAACGTGGTGAAACCCCGTCTCTACTAAAAATACAAAAATTAGCTGGGCATGGTGGTGCACGCCTGTAGTCCCAGCTACTCGGGAGGCTGAGGCAGGAGAATTGCTTGAACCCGGGAGGCGGAGGTTGCAGTGAGCCGAGATTGCGCCACTGCACTCCAGCCTGTCACCTGGTGACGCAGCAAGACTGTCTCAAAAAAATTTTTTTAAATCTTATATGAGTAACAAATTGTTTTCAGTTTATAGAGCACTTTATTGTACATATAGCCTATAACATAAAGATGACAAGTGCTTGATACTATTACCCACAGTTCACAGATGAGGAGAGTGAGGGCCAACTAGTGTATTTCAGACTACACACTAACTAGAGTTTTTATATTTTTCAAAAATTCCCAGGTTTTCCTTTAACCATCCCCAAACAACTTTAAAGAGAATTTCTATTTGTTCTGCTTTAACTGTCAGTATGGGGACATATTTTCTCAACAGTCTCAAACTCATTTTGGAATAAGGCAAAGCAATAAATGTTTGTCTAAATATGTAATCATTCTTTTAGACGTTACCATCCAAAACAGCGAGTTGATGAGTGGCAGCATGGACAAAGGAACCCTAGGGTCAGGATCCAAGAACAATATTTTCTACATTTTGCTGCGGGACTGGGGGCAGAATGAAGCTGCGGATGCCATGTCACGGCTCGCCAGGCTGGCTCCTGTCTACCTGTGTGAGTTTCTCAGCTTTCTCCTTGTAGTGCTGCAGTTGTTAGAGCTTTAAGAGTTGATGTTATTTTGTTCTTTTACTGCCAGCTCATCCCCACCACACATATACACACAGAAAAAGATACTTGTTTCAGGCTAAATTATGTGTGCTGTTATTAATGAAATTAACTCAGTACTGACTAGTTTCACAGCAGGCTTGAATTTGCTTTTCAGTTCTCTTCTCAAAAGCCGCAGTAGCTCCCTACCGTCTTCCGACAGGGTTAGATTATAAAACATCCTTGATGGGCTGCTTCCAAGGTACCTGTGGAAGCACTGGAACACCTGGGGCTGTCCATGATTCAGTTCTCCAAGATTACTCAATATTTGCCTACTATGCTTTCACTGTTCTATTTTTTTGTTTATTTGCGCATGCTTTGAGTGTGCCATGTGTCAAGTGATGTTTGCATGCCCTAAAAAATCTTTATTCCACTCTTATACCTGCCTAGGCATACAATTTTGGAGTGAAAATTATTTTCCCTCAAATTTTGAGGTACTGCTCTGCTTTCTCCTAGCTTTCAGAGTTGTTAAAGGGTATTGTCATTCTTAATCCCCAACTTTTTTTTTTTTTCTGAGGCAGAGTTTTGCTCTTGTTACCTAGGCTGGAGTGCAATGGCGCGATCTCAGCTCATTGCTGCTTCCACCTCAAGTGATTCTCCTGCCTCAGCCTCCCGAGTAGCTAGGATTACAGGTGCCCACCACCATGCCCAGCTAATTTTTTGTATTTTTAGTAAAGACGGGGTTTTACCACGTTGGCCAGACTGGTCTCAAACTCCCAACCTCAGATGATCTGCCTGCCTTGGCCTCCCAAAGTGCTGGGATTACAGGCATGAGCCACTACTTGGCTTTTTTTTTT